AGAATGAACAAATGAACTTATAAATACTTTGTTTTTATACAAAACTCACACAGAGAACAATGATGAGGCGATGGGAGAAAAATAAAACAACCAACGTGCCATGGGAGACAAAAGCCTGCCTGCCTGACGACATACATTTATCGCCTCACCGCAACTGGCCATTTCCATAAACCATGCCAAAAAGAAATGGGGCGGGGGTGCTTATTTTAAGATTGTCAAGCATCCTTGAAAAGAAATGTAACAAAATGCCTTTTGTGTGTGCTCATCAAAGGATTCGAATTTCAGTGCATTGTTACAAAGCTGTCATAAATTCAATTTTATTTTTCTTTTATTTAAAAAATCGTTTTTTTATTAACTTCCGTGTTAAGTAGATTAGGTATTATTCAGGAGGATAGGATCCTTATAATTTCAAAATTTGTAAAAAGGATATTTTAAAAAAATGGAGGGGAAAGAGTAATTAAGACAATTTCTTTGGTAATAATATCACATTTTACTTCAAAGGTCTTATTGACAAAAAGTTAAAGCATACTTTTAGGCAAATCAATTTTTTCAAATGTCCTTAGAGCAATTATAAATTGATTTTAATGAAAACCTTTTAAAGGACCTTTGGGCCTTAAACGAGGATTTTTTAATGACAGGTTTTTCAAGGGCCTTAGACCGATAACCGTGGAATTTTTTATGAAATTTTTTCAAAAGACCTTATACCGATAACGTGGACTTTTTAATTAATTTTTGTTCAAAGGGCCTTACACCGATAAATGTGGATTTTTTTATGAAATTTTTTTCGAAGGACCTTACACCGACAAGGCGGATTTTTTAAAGAATTTTTTTCAAAGGAACTTGGAGCTATAAACGTTGATTTTTTAAATAATTTTTTTCAAAGGACCTTAAACCTAAAAACGTGGATTTTTTAAGAATTTTTTTCGAGGACCTTAGATCGATAAACGTGGATTTTTATGATTTTCTTTTCAGAGGACCTTATACCGATAAACGTAGATTTTTTATGAAATTTTTTCAAAGGACATAATAGCGTGGATTTTTTAAGAAATTTTTTCGAGGACCTTAGATCGATAAACGTGGATTTTTTATGATTTTTTTTCAGAGGACCTTATACCGATAAACGTGGATTTTTTTATGAAATTTTTTCAAAGAACCTTATACCGATAACGTGGACTTTTTAATTAATTTTTGTTCAAAGGACCTTACACCGATAAATGTGGATTTTTTATGCAATTTTTTCAAAGGACCTTACACCGACAAACGTGGATTTTTTAAACAATTTTTTCAAAGGACCTTATACCGATAACGTGGATTTTTTAATTAATTTTTTCAAAGGAATTTGGAGCTATAAACGTTTATTTTTTAATTAATTTTTTTTTCAAAGGACCTTAGACCGATAACCGTGGAATTTTTTGATGAAATTTTTTCAAAAGACCTTATACCGATAACGTGGACTTTTTAATTAATTTTTGTTCAAAGGACTTTACACCGATAACTGTAGATTATTTATGCAATTTTTTCAAAGGACCTTACACCGACAACCGTGGATTTTTTTAAGATTTTTTTTCAAAGGACCTTATACCGATAACGTGGATTTTTTAATTAATATTTTCAAAGGAACTTGGAGCTATAAACGTTGATTTTTTAATTATTTTTTTTTTCAAAGGACCTTAGACCAAAGAACGTGGATTTTTTAAGAAATTTTTTCGAGGACCTTAGATCGATAAACGTGGATTTTTTTATGATTTTTTTCAGAGGACCTTATTTTGATTTTTTATAAAATTTTTTCAAAGGGCCTTACACCGATAAACATGGATTTTTTAATGAAAATTTTTTTCAAGGACCTTACACCGATAAACGTGGATTTTTTAATGAATTAATTTTCGAAGGGCCTTAGAGCTAAAAATGTGGATTTTTTAATGAATTATTTTTCAAGGACCTTAGACAGATAAATTGGATTTTTTAATGAAAGTTTTTTCAAAGGACCTTAGACTGATAAACCTTGGTTTTTTTAATGAAATGTTTTTCAAGGGTCTTAGTGCTATAAAAGTTAAGCTAGAATTTAAAAATTTCGCATTTGGATCACTATAAGTGCATGTTATGAGATAAATTATAGTTTTTAGAAATGTGTACTAAAAGGTACTAAAAATTAAAATCCTTTCCTTCAGTGCTAGTATCTTGAAAATTTGCAATCAAATCACCATTGGGAAGTATACGAAAATATTATAGTATTTAGAAATTTGTACTAAAAAGTACTTAAGAGGTACTAAATATTTCACTGTTTGAGCCTCATCGAAGCCCGAATGAAAGGGTTAAAGCTAGAATCTGGAAATTTTCCATTTAATTTACGATAGGTGCTTTGGTCCAAAGTAAGGCTGGATTTTTAGAAACTTGTACTAAAAGGTACCGAAAAGTACTAAAAACTAAAATCGTTCGCTTAAAGCTAGAAACTTGGAAATTCGAATTTAGATCACCATGGGCGCAAGTTATCGGGTAAATTGTTGTTTTTAAAAATTGGTACTAAAACGTACATAAATGTACTAAACGTTTAAATGTAAGAGCCACATCAAATGCCCCCCCAAAAAAAGGCGAAAACTACATTCTTAAAATTTCCCACGTCTATTACTATTGATGCTTTGGTCCGGAGTAAGGCTGTACTTTTTTTTTGGACATGTACTAAAAAGTACTAAAAATAACTAATAATTATTATTATATTAAAAATCCATTTCTTTAGATTCAGAATATTGAAATTTCCCATTTAGATCATAAATTATAAATTCTACAAGTTTGTACTAAAACGTACTTAAAGGTACTAAAATATAACTGTTAGAGCTCAATCAAAAATCCGACAAAATGCCCAAAGCTATAATCTACAGGGTGAGATAAAAAAAAAACTGCAAAAAAGTCAAACGCCATAATTTTTACATTTTTTTTTAAATTTTATTGAACGCAAGCAAAAAATGTCGGAACTAGCATCAAATTTTAGAATAAGTTTAGATTTGTTCAAATTGGTTACCTTTGGCACGAATTATGGCCTTCAAACGGCCAATGAAACCGACACACGCTGCCCGAATGTTACGGGTATTTTGGCCCATTACCAGCTAAGCGCTTGCTTGGGGTGATCGACACTTTGGTATTTTTTAGTGCTAACCTTGCGCTCCAAAATACTCCAGACACATTAGTCCAACGGATTGGTATCCGGAGAATTTGTTGGCCATTGTGGGCTGGAAATGAAGCGAGGAGCCTCATCTTGTAACCATTCTTGGGTGGCGCGTGCTAAATGAGATGGTGCTGAGTCCTGTTGGACCTTGGACAGTCTGCGGACAAAATGTTTGCGTGCCCCAGACTTTAATATACCCTCCGGAATATTTTCGCTATATTATTCGGCATTTATTCTGATGCCACGGTCGATTAATACGAGCGAAGAGCGACCATCGGCTGTTATGGCTGTCCACACCATCACTATTGCCGGCGCTTGAGTTCTGGTGGCCAACCGAAGTCGGTGCACATTTTCAGTTTTCAGCTGACCTCTTTGGCAAGTAAACACGAGCGGATCATTTTGTTTGTTTACAAACTGCTGGACAACGAATGTTTTCCCATCGCCAGTTCACCACTTTCGGCCAAGCGAAGCAACTCTTTAGCTCTTTTGAGTCTATTTTATTTCTGTTGCGGTGTAAGTTCGTGCAATTTTTGGAATTTCAATGTCTTTACCCCGAGCTCCATTCATTTTTCAATATTTTCCGAATGGAATAAAGCGACATGTTCAGCTCACGAGCCATTTTTCGGCCACTGCGACGCGGATTTCGATCAAGTCGCTTCTTTACTTTTCGAACCATTTCTACTGATGTTGCTGTTTCTTCCGTCCACTTCCTTGACGTCGTGCCACGCTATCAGCCAGTATCACGCTAACAAGCTATGGTACGAGACACAAAATATTTATTAAACATTTAAATGCTGGAGTGCTCTAACGATAGCCGTTTGTGGTTTTCCAGCCGAATATAAAGAAATCACACAATCACGCTTGAATTCCATCCGGAATAGCTTTTTTTGCGGAAAATTCTCACCAAAATACTTGTAAACAATATAACGAACTGTCACTGGAATAATTTTAACAGCTGTCGGATGAGTGGTTTAGAAATGACAGCAGTCTGAAGTTGATTGCAGTTTTTCGTCTCACCCTGTAGCTAGACCTCCGTACTTTTGGGAGGTAAAATATTTTATCCCCAAAATGTGAATATAATTTTATTCTCAATTCTGGATAAAAATAATTTTTTCCGCAAACGTGGATAATGACTTAAAAAAATTGGGTAGGATCTCTAAACAGGACATGAAGTAAAAAAGCCTCGAAGTCCCCCTACCCATATTTCATTGCAACTTGTTGCATTCGTTGCCAAATAAGGCCGCTAAAAATTCTCATGGAACCAGACATAAGGAGAACAATTAAAATTCACACAAATCAAATCAAGTTCTCAACAAGGACGCTGAAAATAAAAAAACACAAGCCTTTGTCTTATTGCCGCTTGAAACAAATTGCAAAAGGACTCTTTACGCTAATTTCCGTTTGTTCTTTCATTTCGTTTCTGTTTCTACTTTTGTGGAGTTCTACAAAAAAAAAAAAAAAAAAAAAAAAAAACAGGAATTGTAACAATTACTTCAAAGGATTGCAAAGGAAGAGTAGGGCCTAGAGAGAGAGCACAACAAAAAACATGGCTATAACATCAAAGGCTAAAACAGGCTCATTATCCTTGAAATGCATATTTTCCCAGCATCAAAATAAAAAAAACAAGACAACAACAACGAATGATAAGAGTTATGCATAAATTAAATCATTTTAATTTTATGGCAAAATGCAGAACGAAAAACAGAAAAAGCAACACAAGTGGTCCTCCAGATGCCTGCAAGGACCCTCTACAATTTAGTTACTCTCTCTGTACTTACAACACAACAACGACAATTACATTTCACAATAATCGTCGTAATGATAATAATAATGGCCTTAATTACACGACACACACATTGTTCTGCAAATACGTCCAAAGCCATGGTAGATGTGAGGTAATGCGTGTATTCACTCCCATACCAAAACGCTGGCCACAGCTTTGTCCGAAACTAATGAGACCAAGTAGGTGGAATCGTTGTGAACGCATTACCACCGGACCACCCGAATCATATTGGCAGGTATCCTGACCTCGACCCAAAAAGTCATAGGTACAAATATGGGACCCCTTTATGGCCGTGGTATTGTAATGCTGCTGGCACACCGAATTTTCCACCGTCACCAATTGGGCCTTTTGTAGCGTGTTCGATTTCATGCCGGCAAAGGAGAGGGTGCCCCAACCGGCCACATCAACCTGGATGTAGGCGAAGGGATCTTGGCTGAAATTGAAATGGGGTTTTAATTGGGGAAATTCTTATTGGAGGGCTTGATTACTCACAGTTGACGCCATGGTAGACATATGGGACCCACACCGCGGGACCACTCGATGGGTAGCACCGTGATGAGAATTGAAATATCATTTTGTGTGGAACTGGGCGTGGCAGCATAGTTGGGATGATTTATAATGCGTTGAATACGATATTGGGCCTCAAAGCGGGTCTCACCGGCTGGAGGAGAAAAAAAATCAAAAATAGGGGAACATTTTATCCGAAAAAAAAATCAAAATACTGGAGAGTTTTATCCACTTTGGTGGATAAAATAATCCGCGATCGTGGATGAAATTATCCTCATAGGTGGATAAAATTATCCACATAAGCGGATAAAATTATCCACATTGGTGGATAAAATTATCCACATAACTGGATAAAAGTATCCGCAATGGTGGATAATTTATCCGCATTGTTGGATAAAATTATCCGCAATGGTTTATCCATAATGGTGGACAAAATTATCCTCATTGGTGGATAAAATTATTCGCAATGGTGGATAAAATTATCAACATTTTTGGATAAAATTATCCAATTTGGTGGATAAAATTATCCACATTGTTGGATAAAATTATCCGAATTGGTGGATAAAATGATCCACATTGATGGATAACATTATCTACAATGGTGGATAAAATTATCCACACAGGTGGGTAAAATCATCCGTATTGGTGGATAAAATTATCCACTTTGGTGGATTAAACTATCCGCATTGGTGGATGAAATTATCCACATTAGAGGATAAAATTATCCACAATGGTGGATAACATTATCCGCATTGGTGGATAAAATTATTCACTTTGGTGGATGAAATTATCCACTTTGGTGGATAAAATTATTCGCAATGGTGGATAAAATTATCCACATTAGCGGACAAAATTATCCACATCGGTGGATAAAATTATCCACATCAGCGGATAATATTATCCACATTGGCGGATAAAATTATCCACAATGGTGGATAAATTTATCCATATAGGTGGATAAAATTATCCGCATTGGGGGATAAAATTATCCACATAGGTGGATAAAATTATCCACATTAGCGGATAAAATTTTCCACATTAGAGGATAAAATTATCCGCAATGGTGGATAAAATTATCCGAGTTTGTGGATAAAATTATCCATATCCGGCAGATATATTTATCCACATTAGCGGATACAATTATCCACATTGGTGGATAAAATTATCCGCATTGGTGGATAAAATTATCCACATTAGCGGAAAAAATATCCGCAATGACGGATAAAATTATCCACTTTTGTGGATAAAAATATCCACATTGGTAGATAAAATTATCCACAACAACGGATAAAATTATCCTTATCCATTATCCTCCTTAATTTTATCCCTATGACCCATTGACCTCATTTGGTACTCACCCACCACCAAATTGTGATCTCCCACATAGGCCATTATCCTGCTGGCATCCGGATGCATGCGCATGCAATGGGCCGCCGTCAAGATGTGGCGATGACTTACTGTCAAAAATTTCCAAATTTATTATCTTCTTTCCAGAATTTTTACCCCCGCCTAACCTACCTATGCTACCCCCACAAAATATCGGCTGCGGTGAGGAGATGTCTCTCAGCGCCACCATAGAGGGGAATTCATGTTTCATCGTTTCAACGCCATTTGTTATTCTAGTACTGGCAGTCCAGCCACAGGTGCAGGCCTGGCGTCGGGCAAAGGCTTGGCATGCGAAACGTCCACGTTGCATAGAATTGAGTCTCACAGAGGCATAGGCTAAAACCATGGAACGAAAGTGGGAAATGCGACTCATGCGATTTGTCAGGCAGAAGCGCTCTCCATCACCCAGCTGGAAATCACCATCAAGGGATATTATAAAGTAGTCATTGTCACACCTGTTGGGGGTCTGGGGGGGGGGAGGATATAAAAGATTTTGAATTATTTTTAAATAAAAAAAAATGATTTATATTTTTCTCACCACTTCAAAACCGCAATTCACCACCACCACATGATCCATGGGTGCCGTAATGCGATAACGACAATTGCTGCCCAATGGATAGGGATTGGGATAATTCCTGGAAGTTATATTCAAGACTTGGCGATCATTTTGCAAACGATATTCTATGGAACACTGCTGTTGGGCCAAGGATATCTGGCAGTAGAATAAAATCACCACACCTAGCTGGATAAAAAATGTAACCGACATACTACTTGTTGTTGTCGAATAATTGGCAAAACTGACATCACTGACCCAGAAGCGAAGAGAATTTATAGACTTTCGGTATTTATTTATTCTTGGCTAAAATGCAAGAGATAAGCATGTTGACAGTTGAATAAATTGCTGAATATTTAAAGAACATGCTCCATTTAGTAGATCCAAGGAAATGCGTGACCGTGTTAAGATAATAAAAAAAAAGAAGTAGCTGTGGCGAAGTGGTTTGGTTTATTAATTAAATTAATTTAATTTGTCCTCCAGAACGCAAGGATGGCTTCAAAAAATATTCAAAATGGATATTTTCAGTTTATATTTAATTGTAGTTTCCAAATCATTAAATTTTGGGGTGTGGTGAATTTCATCATGTAGTGGTGAATTTCATAATATTGCTTAAAACCCATAACTATGTCATTTTTATGTTAAATGTTACGTGTATTAGCTATTTTTAAACTGTGGTGAGTTTAAAAATTGGAGGTGAGTTTCGAAAATGACATTTAAATTTAATTTTTGCCGAATTTGGTTTTCTCCGATGAGAAAACATTCGTTGTCGAGCAGTTTGTAAACAAACAAAATGATCGTGTTTACTTGCCAAAGAGGTTAGCTGAAAATGTGAACCTTCGGTTGGCCACCAGAACTTTAAAAAAATAGAAAAAATTAATGAAAAATTTAGAAATAAAGTCTCCAAGAATAATTTTAACATCCACGTCTGAAGTGTTTTGGAATGACTTTAACAATTCTTCAAAAAATCCACGTTTGGGATTTCGTCTTTATGTAGCCTCCAAAAATTCTATAAAAAATGCACGTTCGGAGGCCTTTAGGTAGCCTCCAAAAATTCTTCAAAAAATCCACGTTTGGGATTTCGTCTTTATGTAGCCTCCAAAAATTCTATGAAAAATGCACGTTTGAATAATTTCAAAAATTCTATGAAAAAATCCACGTTTGAAGGATTTCAAAAATTCTTTAAAAATCCACGCCTGAAGGCCTTTCGATAGCCTCCAACATTTTTTTAAATTCACCCCTGAAAGCCTTAAGGTAACCTATTTTTTTTTAATTCAACACTGAAGGCCTCCAAACATTTTTTAAAAATCTTCGTTTGAAGGCCTTAATGTTGCCTCCAAATATTCTTTAGAAAACCACGTTAGAAAGCCTTGCCTCCGAAAGATCTTCAAAAAAATCCACGTTTGAGGGCCTTTAATGGGCATCCAAGAATTTTCTGAAAAATCCACGTTTGAAGGACTCTAGGTTGCCTCCAAGAATTTTCTGAAAAATCCACGTTTGAAGGACTCTAGGTTGCCTCCAAAAATTCTTTAAAAATCCACGTTTGCCAAAAGATCTTAAAGAGGCCGCCAAAAACTATTTATTACATAACAGCCGATGGTCGCTCTCCGCTCGTATTAATCGACCGTGACATCAGAATAAATGCCGAATATTTTCGCGAAAATATTCTGAAGGGTGTATTAAAGCCTTGGCCGGAGACCTTGGACATTCCAACAGGACTCAGCACGCGCCAACCAAGAGTGGTTACAAAATGAGGTTCTCGCTTCATTTCCAGCGCACAATGGCCACCAAAATCTCCGGATACCAATCCGTTGCACTATAGTGTTTGCAGTATTTTGGAAAGCAAGGTTGGCACTGTGAAATACCAAAGTGTCGATCACCTCAAGCAGGCGCTTCGCCGGGAATGGGCCAAAATACCGCAGAACAACATTCGGGCAGCGTGTGATGGTTCCATTGGCCGTTTGAAGGCCAAAGACCATTCGAACAACTCGAAACTTATTCCAAAATTTGATGCTATTTCCGACATTTTTTGTTTTCATTCAATAAAATTTAAAAAAAATATGTAAAAATTATGGCGTTTGACTTTGTTGCAATTTTTTTATTTCACCCTGTATATTTCTGAGTGTTTAACAACCATGGAAATTGGCCCAGACCTCTTCGTGTGCCATTTTCAAGGAGTTAGGGTCTCAAAGACATTTAATTTCCAAAAGTTTTGGGTTCTAAAGCAAATTTAATGTCTCTGGGATGTATTTTTAAGGTGTGGTGAATTTCTATAAAGTGTGGTGAATTTCTCAAAAATGCTGAAAATGAAACCCACAGCTTTTAAAATCATCAAGAATCATGTCAAAAATGGGGTTTTGCTTTTTTTGTCCGCATTCCCAGCTTCTTTAAACCCCCTTGGAAAAACTCATATTTTTTTAGCATCTAAATAAATTATAATTTTATTTAACAATTTCGTATACTGTTTTGTTTTTAACATTTTTTCATAAAATATATAAATTAAGGCTTTACTTATGTTTCGAAGTGTTATAATAACCATGAAAATTTACCCAGACCTCTTTGTGTGCCATTTTCAAGGAGTTAGGGCCCCAGAAATATTTTATTTCCAACAGTTTTGGGTTCTAAAGCAAATTTAATGTCTCTGGGATGTATTTTTGAGGTGTGGTGAATTTCTATAAAGTGTGGTGAATTTCTCAAAAATGCTGAAAATGAAAATAATAGCTTAAAAAATCATTAGAAATCATGCCTAAAGTGCCCATTTGATTTTTAGTTCACTTTCCAAGCAACTTTAAACCCCCCTTCCAAGGAAAATAATCGCATTTTGTAGCATTTAAATATATTATAATTTTATTTAACAATCGTATACTGTTTTTAACAACTTTTCTTTTAATTTCCATTAACTCACAACACATGTCGAATATCCAGTACTTTGATATATCCATGTCAAATAGGATGAGATACGTGTATTAACACCCGTTGCATAGCCTCCTTGGCCACAGAATTTACCAAAACTAATGCAACCCAAAATATACTGCCTTAGAGTACGTCTTATGACCGGCCCACCAGAATCATATTGGCATGAATCACGACTAGTCCCGGTATAATCATAGGTACAAATTTGAGTTGGATAGATGGTGGTATCATTATATGTCTTGGCACACGACTCGTTATCGGTTATGATGACCGTGGTCTTTTGCAAGGTATCCGAATAGGCACCGGCAAACGAGGTGGTACCCCAGCCAACCAAATCCACATAGGTGTAGGTGAAATCGTTTTCCCTGTAGAAAAAGAATTGTTAGATTTCAGAAAATAAAATTATTTACCCCCCCCCCCACAAAACTTACATTGGTGGTGGCAGGCACATGGGTCCCACTCCCCTGGACCACTCTATGGCTGTGGTTGTCCTCAGCAATGAAATATCATTAATCATGGTGGGTCTACTGGTATAGCCAGGATGTTGAATGATTTGGGCCACATAGTAGTTTACGGCATACTTGGTTTCCGTGGCTAAATAGAAACGTTCTCTAAAATCTCTGTAAAATATATTTGAATATATCACTTACAAATTGCCAAATTGTGATCGCCAGCCTTAATAATATAACTTGCGGGATTGGGCACCAATTCTGTACAATGGGCCGCCGTCAGCAGGTAATAATGGGAAACTAAAAAATAAATTCAGTTTTATAAAAATTCTGAACTCTCTCCCTCTCTCTCTCTTCAATCTCATACTTATGGTTGCCGAACAGAAGGGTGGAGCTGCTTCGCTGGTCTTAAGGGCCACAACACCGGGATACTCATTGATACCCGTCTCCTGGCCATTGACAATTTTCGTATTTACCGACCAGCCACAATCGCATGGCTGCGGTGCCGCATACAACTGACAACGGAAACTACCCCATGAACCACCCGAGGTATAGGCAAATACCACCGAACGGAAGAGAGATTTACGCTGGATTACACCTTTACCACAAAATTGTTCTGAGCCACGTAGATATTCGTCACCATCCACGGCCACATAGAAATACTCTGTGCTGCAGGCATTGCTGCCCTGTCAAGGTGAAATGGGAAGAGATGTGAAAAAAAAAATTAAAAAAGGAAAATGAAACGGGATGATGTTTTTCAAAATACAAAAAAAAAAGGAGAACGTTAGACAAAATTGAAATAATTTTGAAAATTTTAAATCTTAAAAAAATGGAAAATTTTATATAGTTTCAAAAAGTTTTTAATTAAAAAAACTGGAAATTTTGGGTTTCCACTACTTTTATAGAAATCAAGAGATATAAATATCGAACATATGTCATTGGAACCGTCCTGGAGAGGTCAAAAAATTTTTTTTCACAATTTTTAGTTTATAAACCTTATAAAATGTGAAATGGTAACATTTTGAAGATGTGGTGAGTTTCCAAAAAGTGTGGTGAATTTCTCAAAAATGCTTAAAATGGAATGAGTGATAATTATAAAGGTTAAAAATGTAGCGGTGAGGTGAATATACGTTTTTTAGTAGCAAAAAATCCATGTAGATTCAACTAGAGACGTCCAAAAATTTTATTTCGATCAGTAATGGATTGTAGAGCAAATTTAGCAAACATGGAACACATTTTTGAGGTGTGGTGAATTTCCATAAGGTGTGGTGAATTTCTCAAAAATTGCGAAAATCGTAAAAAGACGGTATTTTAAACAATACAAGATATGTTTTAAGTGGGTGCTAAATTGTTGGGCCTTGTTAAAGGTTCAGAAATCGTAAAAGTCAGGGGTTTTGATCATTAAAAGGAAGGGTTCTAGCTTTCAGAGCCATATTAAAGGATTATTTTAAATAATCGTTGATTGTCTATAGGAAATCAGATTGGGTTCTTAAGGACGAAGCATACAAATGAGTCCATTCATCTCCAAAGGTCCCAAATGAGTTCAATGTTCTGAGTAAAATCCCATCAAAAACATTAAATTAAGAAATATTGAAAATATGTCATTTCAAAATACCTGAAAAGGCCTAGGTCTTTTATTTTTACAATTTGTTTGGTCTCAATTATAATATATGCGAGATTTATATTGTGTGAGTTTTCGAAGGGGTGGCGAGCTTCGAAGAAGTATGCTAAATTTTTAAGAACTGTTAAAAAATGGTATGAGTTATATTTATAGAGGTTTAAAATGCAGCGGTGAGGTGAACATATGGTTATTTGCTGTACAAAATTCTCGCAGACTAATTCAGGGCTGTAGACAATTTTATTTCGTCTAGTTTTAAATTGTAGAGCAAATATAGCACGTATGGGAACATTTTTTGATGTGTGGTGAATTTCTATAAAGTGTGGTGAATTTCTCAAAAATGCCGAAAATCGTATAAATAAAGTATTCTCAACGCTACAAGCCCTGTTTTTAGTGGGTGCTAAATGTTAATGGCTCAGAAATAATAAAAGTGAGATGTTTTGATTATTAAAAGGCGGGTGGTTGCTTTCAGAGCCATATTAAGGTTTATTTTAAATATTATTTGAATAATAGAGGAATAAATCAGAACCGATTGCTAAATACGGAGCATTCAATTGAGTCCATCTGAAAAGGTCCGAAATGAAACCCAACTTAAATTAAGACCTGAAACAATAAAATGTAAGCCAAAAATATTGACAATTTGTCATCAAAAAGACTTAAAGAGGTCCTGATTTTTTTTCTCATTTTTTTGTTTTAAATCCCATTATGGTAAAATGGTAAAATTCCTGAGGCGTTGTGAGATTTCAAACAGTGTCGTGATTTTTCCAAAAACACTAATCATTGTATGAATTATATTTAAAGTAATTAAATAGGCAGTTGTGAGTATTTTAGTAAAAATAAAGGCCAATCACAATTATTTAGAGTAATCGAAAATTTTTTCTTGGACTAGTTTTATATTGTGAAGCCAAAATACTATTTAAGGGTTAAATTTTGAAGGTGTGGTGAATTTCTATAAAGTGTGGTGAATTTCTTGAAAGTGCCGAAAATTTAATAAAGGGGGTATTTGGATCGCTACAAGGTATGTTTCTAGCGGCTGCTAAGATTTTAACCCATGTTATGAATAGTACAGCTCCGAGGTCCGACTATTACTGAACGAACTATCCAAAAGTAGGCCGAAGGTATAGAATTAGGTAGGCAACTGAAGGTTCTACTTGTAGAGATTCAGTATTCGAACAGAGGTCAATTTTTTACACATATTTGTTTCAACGGTTGTCAGACCGTGGATTTTTTAAAAAATATTTTTTCAATATTCCAACAGACGTGGATTTTCTAATTTTTTTTTTAATATTCCAACAGACGTGGATTTTTTAAAAAATATTTTTTCAATATTCCAGCAGACGTGGATTTTTTAAAAAATATTTTTTCAATATTCCAACAGACGTAAATTTCTTTAAAAATGTTTTTTTATACATCTAATAGACGTGGATTTAAAAAAATAATTTTTCAATATTCTAAAAGACGTGGATTTTTAAAAAATAATTTTTCAATATTCTAAAAGACGTGGATTTTTAAAAAATAATTTTTCATACATCCAATAGACGTGGATTTTTAAAAAATAATTTTTCATACATCCAATAGACGTGGATTTAAAAAAAATATTTTTTCAAAAAAAAAAAAAAAAAATTTTTTTCATACATACAAAAGACAAGGAATTTAAAAAAAAAATTATTTTTTTTTTCAATATTCCAAATTACGTGGTTTTTTAAAAAATAACTTTTCATACATCCAATAGACGTGGATTTAAAAATAAAATATTTTTCCAAAAAAAAATATTTTTCATACATCCAAAAGACAAGGAATTTTTAAAAAAATATTTTTTTCAATATTCCAAAGGACGTGGTTTTTTAAAAAATATTTTTTCAATATTCCAAAAGACGTGGTTTTTTAAAAAACATTTTTTATACATCCAATAGACCACGATTTTTAAAAAAAAATAATTTTTCATACATCCAATGGAAGTGGATTTTTTAAAAAAATAATTTTTCATACATCCATTGGAAGTGGATTTTTTAAAAAAATAATTTTTCAATATTCCAAAAGACGTGAAATTTTTAAAATATATTTTTTCAATATTCCAATAGACGTGGATTTTTTAAAAAAATAATTTTTCAATATTCCAAAAGACGTGAAATTTTTAAAAAATATTTTTTCAATATTCCAATAGACGTGGATTTTTTAAAAAAATAATTTTTTAAATATTCCAAAAGACGTGAAATTTTTAAAAAATATTTTTTCAATATTTCAATAGACGTGGATTTTTTAAAAAATATTTTTTCAGTATTCCAACAGACGTGGATTTTTTAAAAAATAACTTTTCATTCATCCAATAGTCGTGGATTTTTTAAAAAATATTTTTTCAATATTCCAACAGACGTGGATTTTTTAAAAAATATTTTTTCAATATACCAACATACGTGGATTTTTTAAAAAATAACTTTTCATTCATCCAATAGACGTGGATTTTTTAAAAAATATTTTTTCAATATTCCAACAGACGTGGATTTTTTAAAAACATTATTTTATAAATCCAACAGAAGTGGATTTTTTAAAAAATAATTTTTCACTATTCCAAAACACGCGGAAAAGTCGTGGATTTTGTTTAAAAAATAGTTTTTCAATATTCCAACAGACGTGGATTTTTAAAAAATTATTTTCTTAGTTTCAACGCACCAGTATGCGCAGCGTATTTTTTCTTACCATATTCAAATTAATGGAACAGTTAACAGTTATGTCATAATCCAATGGTGCCACAAATTTATAACGGCATGATGTCCCTGCTGGATAGTGACTTGGATAATATGGCGATTCCAAATAGGTAGTACCGGGATTTATTTGAAATGTATGATCACAGCCCTCAAACAAAGCCGAAGCAGAGCCAAAGAGCAGGCAGAACACGTTGGTCAAGAGGAAGAAAACTGGAAAAAAGGGAAGGTAAAATAACATTTATGTTCAGGTAGGTCAGTTTGATGAGACAACGACACATATGAGATATGTTACAGATTCTTTTTTTTATTTTGAAAATAAAATTCCGAAATCTGTATTGGAGACATTATTAATTCTGTCTTTTTTACTCACATTGATAACCCACCATAACTTTTACCATTACGCATTACTAATCCACAAATAATAACCACTTAAAGTTAATTATCCGCTTAACACGGAACACTTTCCCTATCAATTTGCCTCCGAAACTATTTCAACTGAAATTGACAAAATTTTAATTTTTTGTACGTGACTCGTAGCTCTGGCTAAATCATGTCTTTGCCCATTCGAAATGTTTGACAACGCGATTCTTGCGGTTGTTTATTAAGTATCTACTTTCCTGGCCAAAATGAAACGGCGGCGCTGTGAAGATGGCCCCTCTAACAAAAGACAAGCAACCCATTATCGTTTTATGAATATCTAGATAACTTTATAATGGTTGTAAATAAATTATCATTTTTTTTTTTTTGAGAAATATTTTATCTTATTTTTGAATTTTATGTGTGTGTACATACATATATGTACGTAAGTGTTGTAAAACTATAAAGCAGGTGCAAGAGAAAATGGATATTATTCATTCATTCATTTTTTCGCTCATATATTTCATAACCAGCCATAAAGGGTTATCAGATAAGCCCATAAATGGATTAATTTTAAGGGGTATGTAAATCGTCATGTGACAGTTCCGAGGTTTAGATTAGAAAAATTAGATGGAGAATTCTGAAAATTGCGAAATATTGGGCATCTTTGATACAGGTACATGCGACCCTGTTAGAAATGTGGAATTAATGAAAAAAATTAGAGTTGTATTGCTGATATTTTGTTTTAAATAGTCTATTTTAAAAAAAAAAAAAAGTATTTTCCAACGTTACACTTTGCTTTCAGAGCCATATTAAGAGGTTTCTTTAATATTTGTGTTCCGACATTTACATTTTTTCATATAGCTTAAACCTCGCAGTGGATTATTTTAAATATATAATTTTGGCATATAGATGTGGATTATTAGAAAGCAAAAACAATTTAAAATATTTTTTAAGCAATCAAAGAGATGTGAAATTTTTGAAAACATTTTTTCAGTATTCCAACAAACGCAGATTTTTTAAATTTTTTTTTTTTTACGTTAGAACAGACGTGGCTTTTTTTAAAAAATATTTTTTTAACGTCTCAACGGACGTGGATTTTTAAAAAAAATATTTTTCAACGTCCCAACAGACGTGGCTTTTTAAAAAATATTTTTTCAACGTGCCAACAGACGTGGAATTTTTAAAAATATTTTTTCAACGACCTAACAGACCTGGATGTTTTAAAAAATATTTTTTCAACGTCCCAACAGACGTGGCCTTTTTAAAAAATATTTTTTCAACGTCCCAACGGACGTGGATTTTTCAAATTTCCAACAGACGTGGATTTTTTAAAAAATATTTTTTCAAATGTCCAACAAACGTGGATTTTTTAAAAAATATTTTTTCAAATTTCCAACAGACGTGGATTTTTTAAAAAATATTTTTTTTAAATTTCCAACAAACGTGGATTTTTTAAAAAATATTTTTTTAAATTTCCAACAGACGTGGATTTTTTAAAAAATATTTTTTAAATTTCCAACATACGTGGATTTTTTAAAAAATATTTTTTTAAATTTCCAACAGACGTGGATTTTTTAAAAAATATTTTTTTTAAATTTCCAACAGACGTGGATTTTTTAAAAATATTTTTTTAAATTTCCAACAGACGTGGATTTTTTAAAAAATATTTTTTTAAATTTCCAACATACGTGGATTTTTTAAAAAATATTTTTTTAAATTTCCAACAGACGTGGATTTTTTAAAAAATATTTTTTTAAATTTCCAACAGACGTGGATTTTTTAAAAAATATTTTTTCAAATTTCCAACATACGTGGATTTTTTAAAAAATATTTTTTCAAATTTCCAACAGACGTGGATTTTTTAAAAAAATATTTTTGCAACGTCCCAACGGACGTGGATTTTTTTAAAAAATATTTTTGCAACGTCCCAACGGACGTGGATTTTTTTAAAAAATATTTTTGCAACGTCCCAACGGACGTGGATTTTTTTAAAAAATATTTTTGCAACGTCCCAACGGACGTGGATTTTTTTAAAAAATATTTTTGCAACGTCCCAACGGACGTGGATTTTTTTAAAAAATATTTTTTCAAATTCGTTTCAAGGGATCTGAGATTATCCCAATTTGTTTCAAACCCTCCGCATGGTAACATTATTATTAAACTTATTTCGAGTTCGGAGTTGGATAATATCGGTTCACTGGTACCCCTCATACAAAAGGTCAAAAAAAAAAAGAAAATAATTTGCCTAATAGATTTTTGAATTTTGCGTAAACTTTGCAAATCCCAGCATTTTTATCAGTTCTACGTCAGATGCAAAAAATTACAATATCGGGCCACTCAATCTGTACCTCCCCCAAAAAGAGGACGAAATTTTGAATAATCATAACTCTAATAAAATGTGAAATAAGAATCCGATAATCTTCAAATATCGCATATCTTAATATTTATTCTAACACCAGATCTGGTATGAAGGACGAATCTCTCCCACAAAGGGTCAAACATTTAGAATAACCATGAAGTTCATAAAACGCAATATTAGCATTCAATAACTTTCAAACTCGGCACATCCCAATATTTCTATCAACATAGGATCAGGTGGGAATATGGAATATATCGGACCACTCCTTCTTGTACTCCCCCCACAAAGGGGTGAAATTTTTAAATTATTATACCTCTCGTATAACCTGAAATAAGTGTTCAATGGTCTGCCAATTTTGCACTTGCCAATATTTCTAACAACTCAAGTTCTGGTGCAAAGATAGGATATATTGGTCCATTCCTTTTGGCACCTCCTCCGCAAAGAGGTTTAAATTGTAAAAAGGCACTCGATTCTCTTCAGATTTTAAAAACATATTTCAACATTTTCAAAAAAAAAAAAAAAAAAAAAAAAACACACACACACGCACACTTTTCATAAAAAGTGAAGGAAGAACTCGATATAGTCCAAATCTGCACTTTGTATTTATGTCAGTTAGGAGATGGACACCATTGGCTACTCCTGTGGAACCCCTGTCACCATGGTCCACATTTTTCTATTTTTTCTAATTTTGTTTTTTTTGTCACCGAAATGTTATTATTTTTTTTATTTTTATTAATATTCTTGTAAAATTTAAATTCTTAATTTATTGATTTTTTTAAGTTTTTTCAATGCCTTTAGTTTTGTAATTTTTAATTTTATTTTTATTCACCGAATCGTTTTTATTATTATTATTTTTACTATTATTATTTTCATTATTACAACTATTCTTGCATTTCTTGAATATTTCCAATTTTTCAAATCAATTTCCTATTGTTTCAATTTTTTATAGTTTATCTAAATTTTATAATTTTTTTCTTTTTCACACACACAAAAAATTATGCACCAGTTTTTAATACTCTCAATTTACCATTTAATGACGACCGCATTTGTCTTAAACCCGACGACCACATCTTGTCAAATGACAATTGTTTTGAAAACTTGGCCGTTGTTTTAATAGACAATTTTTTGATCCAAATATATATAAATATGTTTTTTGTTTTTTGCTTTTTTATTTTATTTCACTTCATTTGATTTTCATTTTATTCACTTCATTTTCTTTCTAACTATCAAATATTTGTTTTAATTAGCTGTACTCGTGCTGGTGTGGCTGAGTGTGTGTGTGTGTGTTTGCGTGAGTGTGACATCAAGAGATGTCAATGTGCGTAAAGAGATCTAGGTTTTATGGAAAACAACCTTAGACTAACTGGCACACAATAGAGGGTATTTGCAAAGGGGGGAAGGAAGTTTTAAGGGGGGAAAATGAAGAAGAAGATTTTTGATATTTTGTTATGACATGCAGATCAACAGATGTGACTGTTAAATTGTTTAAAGAAAATAAAAATTTATACACTCAAGGAAATCACGTTTGTTGAAAGAAGGATTAGGCGGGTTTTCCAGGAAACATTTTTATGGGCCTGCTAAAAGGAGAATACTCTCAGAGAAATTTGGGAAGTTGGAAAGAACATTTTTAAAATATATTAAACCTTTTTTTTAATATTATATTTTGTTTTAATTTCAACAGATGTGAATTTTAATTTTTTAATTTCAATAATTTCAAAAGACGTGGATTTTTTTAAAATCATTGTTTTTTTTTAATTTTATAAAATGTGGATATTTCTTTAAGCAAGTTTTTTCTAATTTCCGAAAGTCTTGGTTTTTTTTAAAAACTATATTCTTTTTAATTTCAATATACATGAATTTTTGTAAAAGTATTTTTTTCTAATTTTTTTATAGACGAGGACTTTTTTAAATTTATTTTTTTTGATTTCAATAGACTTGGATTATTCTAAAAATAATTATTTCTAAATTCCAAAAGACATGGATTTTTGAAAAACTATTTTTTTAACTTTCAATAGACGTGCATTATTTTAAAGATGTTTTTAATGCAATAGACTTGGATTATTCTAAAAATAGTTATTTCATAACCAAGGGACGTGGTTTTTTAAAAAATTATTTTTTTAAAGACGTTGATCTAAATTTTTTTTCTAATTTTTGATGGATATGGATTTTTAAAAAATAATTTTTTGTAATTTTCGATGGTTGTGGATTTTTAAAATTATTTTTTTCTAATTATCGATGGACGTGGATTTTTTAAAAATTATTTTTTTCTAATTTTTGATGGCGTTGATTTTTTAAAAATATTTTTTTTTTAATTTTTGATGGCGTTGATTTTTTAAAAATTATTTTTTTCTAATTTCCGATTTCGCACTCAGCACGCGCCACCCAAGAATGGTTACAAAATGAGGTTGCTATTTTTTATCTCACCCTGTACATACATTTTTTCTATTTTCCAATAGACGTGAATTTTTAAAAATAATTTTTGACTAAATACCAATAGACGTGGACTTTTTAAAATATTTTTCTTAATTTCAATAGCCGTGGATTTTTTACAAATACTTTTTCTATTTTTCAGTTGATGTGGATTTTTTAAATAAATATTTTTTGCTAAGATTTGGAGACATGGATTTTTAAAAAATATTTTTTTGCTAAAATTTGGAGTCGTGGATTTTTTAAAAAAACATTTTTGCTATATTTTGAGAGACGTGGATTTTTTAAAAAACATTTTTGCTATATTTTGAGAGACGTGGATTTTTTAAAAAACATTTGTGCTATATTTTGAGAGACGTGGATTTTTTAAAAAACATTTTTGCTATATTTTGAGAGACGTGGATTTTTTAAAAATAATTTTTGGTACATTCGAGAGACGTGGATTTTTAAAAGAAACATTTTTGCTATTTT